TTCTGGTACCCAATTGATGAAATGTAACCATCTAAGGGAGAAATTATAGGGGTATCTAAATATGGTAATAATTTTAAATAGTATGATTACGTAACACTGACCGTAATCATACTAGTTAAAATTATGTAATTTAGAAAATTCGTATAATCAAATTGATAATACGAATTATTTTTTTAAATTTTTACAATATTCGTAAAATAGTTTTGCTACAAACTCATTAGCTACTGTTCCATTCCTTTTTCAAAACACCTAGCAAAATTAAATGTTCCCTCATAATAATTCATCTCAGCAACCTTTTGATAATACTCAAATGCTTTTTGATTATTTTTTTCAACTCCAATTCCATTTTTATAACATTGATTAACTTGCAATATACTACTTTCATATTCTAATTGAGCAAATAATTCATAAAAAGCAAAAGCTAATTTATTATTCTTTTTTAATTTATTATTAATAGAATAACTATGTGCTAGTAAATATGTAAGTTTAAAACAAGCTTCTTTATAAAAATTTTCATTTATATTTTTTGAAATTTCAATAGAAATTTTCTTAATGTCTATGCTATAAGTAAATTGAATTAGTATTAAAGTATAATATGAATTTAAAAAATAAATATATTCACAATATCTTTAATTTGTATTTTAAATATATAATAAATATGTTACAAAAAATATCTATTTATATTAGTTTAATCTGATTTTTAATTAAAATTCAACAATTGTATACATATTTATATATTTTTATTTAATAAAATTTTACATATTTATTTATATTAAAATAATAAAAAATTGACTAATTTTTAATTTATTTTTCTTCGTTTATTTGATGATTCTGCTACTGAGTTTGATCTTTCATAATCTAAAAATTCTTCATCAAATTCATTAACTAAATTATTACTATCAATATTAATAGAATCTATTTTTTCACTTTGACTATTTTCTGAATTCATATATTTGAACATTTTCTGACTTTTAGAATAATTTTTCAAATATTGTATCATATAATCAGGAAATTTTTGCCTCCAATAGATATTATCACCATCGATTATATATTCACTAGAAATTTTTTTAGTTATTTTTTTATCTTTTTTTACTGTAGCTTCAGGTTCAAATTTATTAACCTGATATTCTACATCAAATATCATATTTCAAAAATTTTCCTTTGAACCTTTTTGGAAAATAATTTCAGTTGTTTGTTTCTCAATATCTTTATGCTACTTTCCTATAAAT